GACACGTACGCAGGCGTATGGTAAGGCCCAGACAAACGTATCTACAGGTTTAGGTGTGTGTTGGTGTGTCTGTACAAGCAGTTGCGTCGGCGGTGTGGGCGTGTGTATGCCGCGAGGGAGCAAGGAAAAAGAGACGATGAACTGACTCGTCAGTTCGGCCGGCATGGAATAGCAGCGCACGGCAGAGTATGCACGGCAAAGCATAGCATGGCCAGACAGCCAAGACAACGGACTGAGCGATGTGGCACTTCTCATGCGTGTGAGGGACACTATTTGAGGGTCTCGAAGAACGAATATTACAGCTGGACGCGAGTTCGACAACGAAAACAAAATAGGTTTGCGTGTGTGCGCGCGCATTTCTCTTGAATTAACACGACAGCGCTAAAACCTGTTACAGTAACCCACAACAATAAGTCAGCTCCAAGGCCAAATGAAAACCAGCATACCGCCTTCGAATCCGCGGCCCCGGGGGGCACAGGAGACAGAAAAATAACTGCACCACTTTCCAACTCATGTGGCCCTTAACCCCAGAGTAGTGATGTCCCGTTTATAGCACTAATTTCTTGCAACTGCCGTGTACTCTCTGTCCACCTCACCTTTGCTCCACGAAGCTCGACTCTAGCCCCGTCACATTCGTCTCACGCAACATATCCTAAGCCCCCCCCCCTCTCCAGTTTCTTGCACGTAGAAAAGCCAAGATTCGTCAAGGTACAACTGTACATACGCAGCGAACGAAAACGCGACCACAGAACCACAATGAAAGAAGCTGTGTACGAAAGACAGACACGACGATAGAATCACGCGACGAAATGCCCAAGCCCCACCCACCTTCTGGAGCATGTCGGCACCGTCCTCCCTGATGGACTCGAGCTCGAGGTCCTTCCCTTCCAAGCGGGCCGTCAGCATGGCCACCTTCCAAAGTCAGCGTAGCATCAACACAACGTCGTCGACACGAGCGAGGGCGAGCAAACACCAAGCAAAGTACCACCAATCACGACGAGGCTATGTACATAGGTGCCGTGGATGAAATAGCGGGGGCGGGTTTGGACCGTCTTCGAGAGTATACCCAGCGTTATATGTGAAGAAGAGAGGGGGGGTTCGAAACCCTAAACCTACCCCCCAACCCAAACTCGTACCCTCAACTTACAACCAAGATTACTATCCTGGCGAAGGCTACAGGCGGGTGTCGTTGTCACTGCTGAGCAGGACGTACGTACGAACGACGGATCGAAAAGAGGCGGTGTACAGTGAGAGAGCATGAGCCACAACAACCCACCGAGTGTCGGCAACGAAAGCGAGAGAAGACCCCGATTGTTTCGATAGTATTCGCAGGCGTCTATCTATGCGGAAGACGATATATCAAGTCCGACTTCCTAAAACAAACTGCTTACAATACTTTTCCGAACACTTTGGAGCACCGGACAATCTCGAACAAGACTCGGCAAACGTATAGCGCGTTGAAGTGACCGCACCGGCATGCACCACTCGCACAACATAAACACGTGCAAAGTGTACCCAACAACGGCGACAACAACCAAAACAAGACCAACACCACCTATCACGACCACAACACCCACCATGCCTCCATGCCCCACAGCAATGCACGGCATCGTCAAAATCTACAACAAAAACACGCCACCCCCCCCTCCCCCTCCCCCCTACCTCCTGGTGGGCACCCGACGTGGCCGAGTCTATCCTCGTCTCCCACTCCTGCTCCTTCTGCGCCAGCGCCATGCTCGCCTGGGCCTCCGCCCAAGCGAGCTTCTCCCGCGCCATGGCCAGCTGCGTCTCCGCCTCCCCTGTCCTAGCCTCCCCATCGGCAACCTTGGCCTCCAGCTTCAGCAGGTTCGCTTTCCGCGCGGCTTAGCCCATCGCGCAGGGCGTCCGCCTGAGGGGGGGGGGGGGGGGCGGTGGTAGGGGCTCAGTGTATCAGCCCATCACGCAGAACGTCTGCCTAGCTATTGTGTTGGAGGTTATTTGAGTGGGGTAGGCAGTGCTCAATACATCAGCCCATCGCGCAGAGCAGACTTCACACTCGGGGATGGTGGACTTCGTACTATTTAACGAGAACGGCTGTGATTTTGACGTTGAGACCAAAGTGAACATACCTAGACGGCAGTCGAGACAAAGGACGCCGGCTTCCACTTTCACCCGCCAGTTTCGGAACAGGGGATACGTTTTTCGATAGAGAGAAATAACCAAAGAAAACGACCACGGAAACTCCTTATTCTTCGTCTCATACGCATACCGTGGGTTGATGCCGACACAATCAGCACCGGGAAACACAACACGGTTACTGAGAGAGCTAGCTTTCCGTACGAACACGGTTCGGCGTTCGCGGTCGCATCCCTCTTGGTCGTTATCCTTACCTTCGTGGCAAGCTTCTCGTTCTCGGCGCGGAGCAGAGCCCGCTCCTCCTTGGCAAGCTTGAGGTCAGCCTTGAGCCCCGCCTCCACCGACTGATACCGCGCGTTCTCGTCTTGCCGAGCGGGAACCAAAGGACCAAGCAGAACCGAAATCAAGGCAGGCGTCCAGACAAGGGGTTAGGCTAGCGGCGGCAGGTAGCGATCGACGAAGTGGAGATACATTGGCGAGCGCCTAACGTGCAAGAAATCGTCATGAACGACAGGTCAAGCGAGATGCAAATAGAAAGGACTAAAAAGTTCCCGCCAAAATTTGGGGACCGCCTTCGCAATTATTCAATTATTAATCTATCAGAGAGATGGCGGGAGTTTGTTGCCCTTTCCCTAACCCCCCAAAAATCAAGCTTGATATCCTCGCGAAGCCTACTGAAAACACACGTCTTATGTATCTAAGCGGTGAGGGTCCAGCCCCAGCCGGCGTCGCCCGCGGGGGGGGCTCCGCGGTGACGCATTAGCCCCTCTACGCTCCCGTCTGCATACCGAGCCGTAAAACGACGCACCATTCTTTGGACCTCATCCACCGAACCCCCAAAAACAAGAAAATTTCGCAATATAAACGGGTCTTCTGACCTACCTAGCGTTATGACGCCAGACCCGCACGAAGCGCGGACTTTGAGCGCCGGCCAGGGGGGCATGAAAAATATAAAAATATGAACAAACACACGAAAGAAACGAAATTATATTGCAAAACAAAACGCCTCCTCCTCCTCTCACCTAGAAGTTCGACGTGATCCCTCTCCACGTCCTCGCAGCGTGAGTTCACCTTCCTCATTTCCGCCTGACGACGCCATGCACACAAAGGTACACAGCAGTTAAGCGAGTGATGACCCTTAAGGCAAGAGCGCGAGGAGCCTCTGTTGTGTACCGCCCACACCGACACAAGTCACCGGCCAATCGCCGTCAGAAAACCGCCGACTTGTTGGACCTTTCAGCAGTGCTGCTCTGTGCAAGTGGCCGAAGCACCAGCATTTTCATCAGATTCCAGAAATATCCCCAACATGACACATGACAAAAAGCCATACCAGGTACGTATCGCAAACACTGCAGACCCGGGGGGGTTGTACTCATAGTCGTGCATGCCGTAGTCGTTAGACCATTGACCTATTAGCATCCCTAGAAAGCCGGGACGGAGCATGCCGGGTTCTCACCGGACCAGGCTCTCACATCGCCAAGCGCGAAGCTCCATGAGGTAATCGGCGGGGGGGGGGGAGGAGGGCTACTCATGCTTCGCATGCCTTAGCGGTTAGACCATTGACCACGCGTCGGAACGTTGTTCCCACAGGACCCATCACCGACGGTCAATCGTTCCTTCCAGCGTTGACAAAGGTGACTCTAACATGTTGCCCTACATACCCTATCTATCCTATCGATATCACGCGGGGAGGGGGGGGGGGCGCATGTCACCTTGAGAGCGGCCTCCGTGTCGATGCAGGCGTCCTTGAAGCGCTGCTTCTGCTGCAGCATGGTGTTCAGCATCGCTCGGAGCTGCGCCAGCAGCTCGTTCTGGTTCTGGATGCGCGTCTTGTAGTCCCACTGCCAACAAGGAAATGAACAAAAAACAAAACCAGCCGAGGGTAAAAACTCCACGAGACTTAACAGTAAAGGTGGTGCTTGCTCTGCCACGATCCCCCCTGCGTGTAAATCGCGAAAGATATACCGCACAGGAAAACCTCGAGATATATGCCAAATAGCAAGCGACTATCGGTTCCCGTTTACTGAACGCGGTCATGCGTCTTCGGCAAGAAAAGCTCTACACAAGAATACCACATGCGCTCTGGATCGTCGCCAGAAATGGACTACCGTGTTTGCAAGCAATACCTCCCCGCCGGTGGAGGTTTTGTTCGTTTCCGTTTGTTCTTTTTTTCGAACAGACTCCCGTTCGTATAGCACAACACCCTCGAGGGATGTGCGCGTTAAACGGACCCCGAATAAAAAGCAGCGATACATATCGACACCAAGGTTTAGGACTACTGCCGGGTCGATGTCTCACTATCTACGCACCTTGCTCGCGCCCTTAACCTTCGTCTTGAGCATGTCCTCCACGTCATCGTCGCTGACGGTAAAGATGCGCTGCGCGTGCACCCTGATGCCTCCCCTTCCCTCGGACCCCGGCGTCCGGGATCGCAACGGCGTGTAGTCTTCCACACCGCGCGCGCGGGGGGGGGGGGGGGAAAAAAAACCCCAACAATTTTCCCCGGCCAAACCCGTCCCGGAAAACCAAGGGAGGGGAGGTTTTTTAACAAGTCCCGGGGGGAACCCCCCCTGAAAAAAAAAAGCCTCTCCCTGTGGGAAAACCCCCCTTTCCTAAAAAAAAAAAAAAAGGCATTTCAACTACCTT